CGGTCGAACCTAGATTCAGGCTATGCGCCTTCGCTATTGAATCCAACGAGCTCGACCTCGCTCGGACTACAAGGATGGACGCCTTCGTCCTCAACTTTAGCAAGTTCAACCACAGTTGAACCGAGACTCAGGCAAAACGCCTTCATCTGTGAAAGCAAAGCCCGACCTCCAACAAATCAAAGTGCAGGATAGGCACCCTCACCATTCAAGTAAGTTCCCCCAACTCGAATTAAGATTCGGGCCACGTAAAGTTCGGCCCCGATCAAACTACGAGGCCACGTTTTTTACTATCACGACCGGTAGTTCGACCGCACCCGAACTGGGACTAAGGCTAAGGCCGCCGATTCCATCACAACTAAAGCCGTCGATCCAAATTCGACTAGGGCCGCCAACGCCGACGGTCAACAAAATAAGCACAAGGCAGGCAATGGAAAAGAAAATTTATATATTTACAAAGTCAATGACGGGTCATCCCCGCTTACACCCGGCCAAGGCCGATCAATACAAGAAATAAAAAAACCAAGAAACACCTAAACGCCAAACGGCGAACAAGACAAGAAAAAATGCATAAACATCTTTTACTCGGTGCTGTTTGCGCCACCGTCTGCACCAGCGTCAGCCTCTGGAGTCGCCGCGTCAAAACCACAGTCGGCACGTGCCTCACGAGCCTTCTGACGCGCCCCCTCAAAAGCAGCCTCGGTCACGACGCCAGCCTCCCACAAACTCTTATAAACATCACGTTGGGCCTCGGCAAAGACCCAAAGTTCTCGAGCCTAGCTGGAAGAAGCGGCTTGATCCCGTAGCCGCTGATTCTCTTCTTCTAAGGCTGTGATCCGGTCCGCCATGACCTGGGTGTCCTTCTCAAAGACACCAATCCGCTCCTCGAGACTCGCTTCTCTAAAGGCCGCAGCATCCCTTTCCAATGCCCGTTGGGATTCGTGCACGCGGATAGCCTCCTCTAACGCCCCGGCCCTCGACGAAGCATCCCTCACTTGAAGCTTCAATACCGCAACCTCACCCTCCAACGCGGTCACTTTCCCGCTCCATGCCGCAGCGGCCTCCGCCGCCTTGGCCTCGCCCCGGCGCTCGCACTCAGCTGCGACCCTCTTTACAGCTTCGAACTCCTCGTCCTTTCGGCGGAGCTGCTCCTCGAGAGCACTCGTTCTGCCAAGTATTTGCTGCATCTGAAGCTCCCGCCTCGCCAGCTCTTCGACCAAGGCCCGACTGCAAGGATCATTCCTCAAGCGCACGCGCAACTCTCGGCACTGATCTCGGTAGCGGCGATACTTCTCCAGCGCCCGCAAAAATATCCCCGAGCGGACCTTGGATCGACGGATGCTCTCCACCTCCAACAGATAAGACTGCAAAGCAAAGACAACGATTAGAATAAAAGAATAAACCTAAGGCAAAGAAGAAGCGAACCGACGTAACAGTACATACCCTCAAGCCCATCACGGCTACTTCATTCATCAGCCCGACATCCGTAACGCCCCTCAACGACGCATTCTCGGCCTCCGAGCATAGCAACTCGAACTGCGGCACCAAGCTTTCCCCTTGGATCAATAAGTTCAATTCCGTGGGAACCTCGATAAAGCGAGATCGCCCCCCTGCACGCACCGCTGAATTGGTGGAGTCTTCCTGGAACATACGGACGTCGTCGGGATCCAAGTCGGATTCAGACTCATCCTCACCCCCTATAGCATCTCCTCCCGCCGCAGCCGCCGAAGGGGCGCTGGCCTCACCCGCACTAGCAGCCGCTGAGGAACTACCTCCCGTTTCAGCGACTGGAACCACCAATTGAGTCGCCGAAGCGACGGTATCATCACGGCCTAAGCCAACTGGGGCAACCCCCATTGTTTGTCCATCCTCGAGGGCAGGCGCCGCAGCCGCACTCCTCTCCGCGTCCGCCGGGGGGGAGTCCAAATTAATTACCACAGGAGGAGCCGGCGCGAACGCGACCCTACGCCTTATCAACGGCCTCTCCTCCCCATCTGATGACGATTCCTCTCTAGGGCGCACAACCCCCGATGGCCCCTCGTCCCGAAGACGGGTCCTTGATGGAGAAGAAACTGCTGAAGATTCAACTGAGGTCGCCCTCGGTATTGAGCGCGACACCGGCGATGCAGTAAGCCGAGCAATTGCACCGGGCCGACGGAAGGCCAACTGAAGGGCCCTGACGCAGCGTGCCCTCCCTGATCACAGAAAAACAAAATTAAGTGTCGAAACAAAGCGGAACAGAAGTCATTTTTTCTTACCTGCCACAGGACTACGGCCATGCCTCTCCCAGAAAGACGCCCATGTGCGTATCCCCACTGTGTGGGGGAGCACGGCCTCCACCCATCCGCGAATCCCAGCTAACGGAGCCGGCGGCGATTTTTCGGCTACAAAATTGACACGAGTTAACGCTTACGAGCATAAGACGTAAGGAGAGGTAAAAAAAAGAGGATTCAATGGCTAAGAAACTTACGTGCGTGATTCCAAGCCTCTGGGAATCCAGTAGAGCACACCACTAAGTGTTCAGTCCTGATGTAGAAGAAGTGCTCGAAAGGGCGAGGCTCAACCTCATCATCTAGATTCGCAGTCAGGCCCCTCGTCCCGCGAGGGCACGCTCGAATCATGGTACCCCGAACCCTCTGTGGGGCGTAGAGGCTAAGCACATGCTGCAGCGTAATCTCCCTACCAGCCAATTCTGCGTATTTGATGAGCATCGCTAACAACTTGTAAAGAGAAGGAGTAAGTTGACCCGGGCATACCCCGTAATAACGACAGAAATCAACCACCAACATTGGGAGCGGGAGCTTAAACCATAACTTGAAGGGGTAGGCGTAAAAGACGCAGTATCCTCTACGGTCAGTGTGGACCCTCTCCTCGCTTCTAGCGAGAATAATGTCAGCATAGCCGGGGATGACCCCCTGTCCCCGCAGTCGAGACATCCCAATCTCCCCCATTAATGGGGCTTCATCCACCTGATCCTCCCCACCGTCGGCGATGAAATCAGTCATCGAAGCTCCGGGCATAGATACTATCTCGTCAACCGACGGAGCCTCGCCAGTCTCCACTAGTTCTGCACCCCCCATCGCCGGAATGGGCCCCTCGGTCACCGGTGAATTAACCGGAAGGTCCAACGGAAGAACGTTTTGGGAAGAAATGTCTGCCATTGTTGATACAATAACGAGAAAGAAACGAAGTTCGGGGGACAAATACGAAGGTGAAACAGCAACAAGAAAATCTTCTTCAGAATTTCTCTCAGACAAGCAATAAGAATATGGAAAACGAATTCCTCAGCCTTTATTTATATGCAATACAAGTGGCCCTCATGCATCCCAACTGCCACCATTAACTACGTGACCAACCGCACGCCGATTCAATTCTATAGGAATGTGCGTCATTATGACAGGCTCCGTAAAGCGGCCTTGCAAATCACCCGTCGGCGTCCCGCCCTCGAAATGGTTATAACGACCTATGAATGCCGAGGAAGTGCTCCTTGCGCCCTAAAAATTTCTTTTTTTTTGACACCGCCGAGCACGTATCAAGCGTGCCCTCATTCTCCTCGGCCGCGCAACATACGACCCGTCCGTCATGGCCGACGGGTATGTTTCCAAAGCAAACGTAAGGATCAGAGCACAATGCAGCTCGACCTCACTCGAAGTAAGCTAAAAGGACAAGTGCCTTCGCCCAAAAGGAGAGTTCGACCTCGATCGAACAATGACTTGACAACCCAATAACAGGATACTAATACTCTACAAGGCTAAGGCCCATCGCCAAAAAGAATTCGGCCTCGACCGAAGCAACAGTCGCCATCCCCATCCGTGTTTCTCGAAATACAGCCAATGGAATCTACTCATCGAGCTCGGCCAAGGCCCGACCTCAATAAGCGGAGGGACTAACTGTATGGGTCAGAATCCGACCCCACGATAATTAACGAGGCTAATCCCGTTTCAAGCTAATTCATGATTAATTAGTGGTACGACCACTCAGAATTGACGATGTTCAACCCGCATCCGACTCGATCGACAAGGCCATGGCCTATCCGCCATCATAAAGGCGAGATCCCAACGTGGTCACGGCCATTTATGGCCAGCTCACGAAGCCCACAGCTATAAATACTAAGAGTGGAAGCCCTAGAAAAGGGGCTGCTTCTTCATCACTATGGAGGAGAGAGAGAAGAGAAAAACACACCCATCTTATGGGAAGTGAAAACACCATTGTAAGGCTCTGAACCTCTTCATGGAGAGAACCAATATTATCAATAAAGACTTTTAATGTTTCTCCCCCTAATCCTGAGTATCTCTTTTCGTTTCTTTCTTGTGGTCCAATGGATTATTACGATTTGCTATGATTTTCCCGTAACTTATTCGTATTGTTTTGCACTCATAAGATATGTGATAACTTTTGAGCAATCATACAATTTATAATTTAAGAAATAACCTTTTTAGATCTCTTATGTGTAAAAGATATTTCTCTTACATGGAAAAATAAATCTTCCACGTGTAAAAAAAAACGGAGTCATAAAACTAAAATAAGTTTGTAAAGAGACAAAATCAATTGAAACGCTCTAATTTCTATCTAATTTTCACTATGACAAACTATAATTAAAACTCTCACATTGGGCAATTAACACTGTAATAATATTATTTCTAAAAATAAAAAGATGAAAACAATTTCTTTTGCTCCTCATCAACTCTATGAGAAACCGACCCAACCCAGTTTACCGCTATCTGGATAAAGCTAAGGGTATATTCGACATTTTAAGCTGATAACATCCCGTCACGTGACCTGCTTGATCAACTCAATGTTTATTAGCCACGTGGCAAAAAACCAAAGGATAAAACGCCGGCTTTGGCACGTCGATCTTATCCCTATATACGTGCTCATAAATCCAGCCGTTTATTTCATCTCAGATCTAGCAGACACAAATCAACGGTTGAGATCCAATCTCATTCCCAAAATCTGTTCGACCTTTAACGCTTCAGCCGTCAATAAATAACACTCCCCCTAGCTTCACTTATTCCTCGATAGACGATATACTAGAAAGTTCTATTATCTTTTCCTTTTCTCTCTTTCTTTTCCCTTAACGTACGCCGATTCGCTGATCTGCGTCATGAGCTTACTTGACAAGCTCTGGGACGACACCGTTGCCGGTCCCCGGCCAGATAGTGGCCTCGGGAAACTCCGGAAGTATTCTACTTTTAGCCCCCGTTCTAATTCCGGCAAGGGTACGCTTTTGTTGCCGGTTTCGTTCATCCATTATTAACAAACGAATCAATATTTATTATAATTCGTTTAGCAAAACTGAATTACTTTTTTTCCAAACTAAATCTGAACTATCACTTATAACGTGTTATATTTGTTTGTGAAGGTTTACGAATTATGATATAATAATTAACATATATTCCGATCGATGATATATGTTATAACTTGTACGGATGTAGACTGTTTTCTTAAGGATCTGATCGTTAAAGGTTAATCGGCAAAAATAGTGCAGCTTACGTTGTTTATTTCCGGGTTAGTTTGGTGACAGACGAAGCAGTATTTGAAATAAGAATTGGAGATTCTTTTAAGTAGTAACTGTTTGTTTATCAAATTAGCTGTTATTTAAATTTCAAACATGAAATGGAGCATTTGAAGTTTGATATACGTGTTTTAGGAAACAAAATGTTTCAAGTTTTCACTCACAAAATTTTAATTTGTTTTTCAATTTCATCTTCACATACTACTATTTTTTGTTAAGCTCAACCAAATCATGTCCAAAGGCGTCACTTTTCCCCCTTAATAAGGACTGCTTGATAACTTATCCAAAAATGAGGAGAAGAAAGGCGATTTTGATAGATAACTCTAAGAAATCTGCAATTATCGTTACGTTTGGGGAGATATATTCGACTCTGACGAAGCACTTGTTCATTTTTGATACAGAATCAGAAGTTTCGACACCGAGATCCTTCAGTGAGGAAGCAAGTAGTGAGGATGCAGTAAGGGTGACAAGGAGTATCATGATAGTAAAGCCTCCCGGGAGTCAGAACAGAGATTCACCTCCCGTTTCCCCCGCCGGTACCACTCCTCCGGTATCTCCTTTTGCCGGTAAGCTCCCACTTTTTTTTGTTGGTGAACGGTTTCCGATCTGATTCGTTCCAATAATCTGTTTTCGCGCCGTCACCTCTGGCGGCTTGTTTTTGCCAGTTGTTAGCCATTAAAGTAATTGCTCGTTTCCTAACCGAAAGTACCCTCCAGGAAAGGAGGAGAAGCGGAAATCTAGAAGAATCTTGTAAGGTTATTATTGTAATTCCTTTTAGGTAGAATCATTGAGGGGTATAGGAGTCAAGGGGCAAATGTGTACTTTTGTGGAAATTGACAAACTTTTAGAGGATAATGCGAGGCAATAATGGAGATATTAGGTGGAGGCAATTGTTTTAATTAAGTGATGTTCACTTTGAAAGTGATATCCTTGCTAGAGTCCAGTGATGTGTTTAAAAGACAAATTGGTGTCTGGCCCACCACACCTCTCTACAGATACGTACTGTGCAGGCTGTTTAGGCTTATATAAGTAGCCTATAATTGAATTACTAACTCTTCGCATAGCAGTTTGGTATAGTGATCCAGTGTACTACCCTGACGTTTCAGAGATTAGCAGCTTGTCTTCATTCCTTTGTAGTTTCGTGGAGAATTTTTTGGGTGGAAATTTTATGATGTAGATTTGCTTTTAATTAACTTGGATCTAAAAGATTTGCATTAGAAATCTTGCATGGTCTGATGTGCAACCGGGTACATGTCGAAATAATGAGACTAATTATTTGATGCCTGATGATGTTCAGGTGCGGGAGGAAGAGAAGCATATTGGTCCCGTAGGCGATCATTTGCATACGAGAATGCCAGTGGGGTTGGACCCAGAAGCCCTCGTCCTCTTTACGACCTGTGAAATATAGATCGGGTTTTCTTCTTTGTTACCCCTCTTGAGGCGGCTGAATGTAGTCGACATCCTTGACATTTTCCTGGTTGAGAATGTGCTGTATGGTCCTGTGACAGTGTGTGTGTAGTGTGCTTAATTTTGTAAATAGTGTTAGTGCTTCTTGATCTTGCGGATGTTGTGACGAAGGTTTGGCTCAAGCTGTAAGCAACGAAGTTCGTCATGTATACTGCTTCTGCTCTGTATCAAAGCTTACCTTGTAATGTTATCTTGTTTACTCTCTTGTCTTAGAAATGTTATTCATAGGCTTGTGGTATCGGTATCGATAGTTTCTTTGGTGTCCTGTATCATCAACTTACAGTTGGTCGTTACTGATGGTGAAACAAGAAGCAAGAATCTCAATTCTAGTCTAAATTAGAAACCAACTAGTAAATTTTTCCGCGCGACGAGCGGTTATATAAATAATTAAAATATGACAAATTATTTATGTTATGGAGTAATATTTATATAAGAAATTTAATCTTTGCTAGTAAAACACTTCTTCATTATTCTATCATGAACTATTGCAATGGATTAATGACCTACTAGAATCTCTCGATATAAATTATGTCTCTCTCACACACAAGGGTACCCTCCCTTTAGCTCCAAGTCCTTCAAGACGGAAGCCATGCCAAGGCAACTGCTTCACTGCACTACTTCACGCAACATTTCATCCAACGCATACTGAGAAGGCCACATTATAGCAACACCCATCTTGAAGAAAATTTCATCCAGCTCTACCTTTTTTGTCTCTCTCTCTCAACAGTTGTTTGAAAAGGATCTTTAGCAGAGAATTCTTTATTTGGAAACTACAACAGCATAGTAGCATTCATTTTAACTTTTTGTAAATATGATTAAATTTGAGGAAACTCTGTAAAGGTCCCAAAATATAATTAGATAAAGTCATCATTTCTTTATTGTATTCTAATAAGAGAACTCTATTTCACTCTTTACATGAATCCCTGAATGATTATACATGGAGATTGTGAAGGTCATGGCCATCACAGGTCCAGCTTCCTTAGTGATATTCTGATTTACATGCATCATTAACCTAGCTATATAAATCAACTGTGTATTACAAATAGGTTGGTGCAAGAAGTTCACATAACTTACATATAAGGACATCAATATAATAAAGCAGCTATATTGCAAATGGCTAGAAGATGGATAGAGTTATGCCGTTAATTATATGTACATCTTCTGAAACTTGGCTGTCCATCTTTAAAGGAACAAAAACTATAATTCAAATATGTCAAATGGAAAGCACACCAATGTTTCTAAAAAGCTTAAAAGAATTCGTAAAATCAAAGATGTCATGCAAAAAAAATACTAACAAAGAACATGAAGAATAATTAAGTGTGAAATAAAAGAAATACCAGAGGTGCTTCTACATACCAATCACCTATCTCAATAATTGTTATAACAACAGAAGGCCACACACAAGTATTACAAACCCGCAATTGTCTTCTATACTTTAACTTCGCTTCTTTCGCCTCTGTTGATTGCTTCTCCGATTTGGAGCCTTTGGAACTGTATACCATTAAAGAATGAAAAAAGTTTGAAAGCATTTACAACCTCCAAGTTAACTACATAATATACAAAACCCAAAGGAAATTAGGAACACAAGAAAAGAATGGACAACTTGAGGGGACAATAGAAGCAATGGAGATTCTTCAATTCAAGGAAACAACTCAGTGACATTTATTAAGATACTCTTTTCCCAAACAATGCACGCAAGACATCAAATAATGGAGGAATATTTAGCAATTCAACACACTACACCTATGACCTTGGTTGATACCAACAATTGAGCTCTTGCATACGCATTCATACCTTTCCCAATTTTCACATGCCGAAATATTAGTGACCAATTAAAAATACTTAAACAACCTGCCCATAAGCACCCAACCTCAAAGACCGACTCGTCGCCAATAAGCACTCTCAACTCGTGCACTCACCCAACAAGAGATGTTTAATAACATCACCTATCTGTCATGTAATCATGTGTCTCACCAAAGAACAAGAGGGTATTTTGTCTACACATTCAAATATGCATTCGAATATAATCTAAGGACATCACATATATGAATAAAGAACCACTCACTCTCACAAAGAAATTCATGTGCATCCCGCAGTTGTACCATAGGCTTGTCCGTAGTGTATATTTCCACTAATCTAAGCTCGTAAAGTCTAAGATCAATTAGGTCTTTACGGGTTGTAATGTAAGCTAAAGGACGGATCGGATATATTTTATGCAAAATAGCCTCCGGCTACTTAAACTTGTACCCATTTGTTAACCCGGGAAATGAACTTACAAGTTTCCCATTTAAACACTTGTACTTGACTGAATGAGGACCAATAAACACCTCTGACCATTGACCAAGCCTATGTGACAACAGTATGTGTGACGTAACACTAGTGTGTGCATATCACGCAAATCAGACGCGTGAAAGCAATTTGCTTGAGTAATTAAAAATGAAAAGAAAAGATAAAAAGTAAAAAAGAATAAAAAATTCACAAAAACCCACTCGACACCCCATCTCCCCATCCCCTATCCCTTTCTTTTCTTTTCTTGCCCCTGACCTTCTGTTTCTCTTTTTCTTTTCCATCTCCATTAGAGGCTTTGAAGCTCTTCAGTGTACGACAATGGTAGATCTATGCTCCATAAAAATACCTCAAATAAATCAATGGTCTGGCTTCCAGATTTAGGTGGGAGGGTTTTAGCTAGCCTTAAAGATATAATCAAACACTCAGAGTTCGAGAATTAACTAAGAAAGCTGCAGGATATGCCGGTAAGTATATAACCTAGAAACGCCCTAGCTAAGAGAAAACGAAATACATTAAATTTGTGCCTTGGATGATACAGGTTTGCAAACATGCATTCAATAATTTGGTTTTATTGAAGTCCGATTATTGAAAGAATGTAACTCAAAATTTCCAAGAGCTTGACAGCGCGGAGAGAAAAGAGAGCACCTGAATAGCGCGGAGAGACTGCTGGTGGTGGTCTGAAATTTGAAAATGGGAGGGTTTTAGGTGGCCGGGTATTGAATATGGTGAAATGGTGGTGGATCGGCAAGAGCTTTGACTATGAAGAAGAAGACAAAAATTAATTTTTTAAAAAGGAGAATAAAAATCTGGTAAAATAATTTTTCTTTTAAAGTAAAACCCACAGAATACACATGTCAAAGAATAAAAGGATTAGTATATGACGTGTCAGTCATGTCACAGCGAGTGAAGAACACGTTTAGTCGGATGTGTTTACTGGTATTCAGTTCATCAAATAAAGGTGTCCAAATGTAAAAGATAAAAATTTATATATTGGATTGAAAAACGGGTACAAGTTTAAGTGGTCCGGAAGCTATTTTGCCTATATTTTTGGATATAGTGAATCACTCTCCTAAGCACTTTAATACACTACACGTAACTTTCCACTACACACTTTTAATGACCATTTCAAGCTATGCTACGAAATCATATACAACTCGGCCCTTCTTTTTTAAGCACAACTATGAATTCACTAGCCCGGATCACGATAAATAGGAGGTGTATTTTCTATATATACTATTTTTTTCTCTTTTTTTTTATTTATTTTTTGTATTTTGTTGCTTCTCTTTTCTTCAACACTCTCCACAATTTTAGGTTGCCCGACTAATGATTTTCCAAAACATACATGCTCCTTTTGGCCTTTATATGGTTGCACTCAAAAGCCATCCCAACTCTCACATTACTCTTCTAGCGACTTAAGTGCTTTTGGAGGTAAAGGTTCAGCAAGATTTAATTAAGAACAAAATGGGAATTGGCTTGTAATGTGAGTGCCAAAGAAAAGCCTTATAGTCTTTGGTCTATCTAAAGATAATTTTATTTATGGTGGGATAATAGCTCAATGGACAATCAAAGAAATGCCTACATCATCTCCTAAACTCACAAAGCTTACTTATTTTACTTCGACTAACACACATGGCAAGTTCTAGACAAACACATGATAGCACAGAATGTAATCACATCACACAATGCACATGATCCCAATCGGTACAGCTCCATTCCAACTCTCAAATTTAGGCAAGTAATCACAAAGTCAAGAAGTATTAAGCAATAAACCAATACATGAACAATGAGTCAAGTAACTGAGAGAAAGCATCACAGACGGGCTATTCAATCTTTTACGGCATCAATTATCATTAAAACATGTAAGGAAGGTAATTTGCATGCTACGGCCTAACTATGCTAGCGTCAAACATCTCTAAAGGCCTATAGGACACTCAAATTTTCTTCCCTCAATTTCTTTCAAAATAAAAAATAAAAAACTACCTGGTTCAAGTTACATCCCTTGGAAAAGAACCGATGCCAAAAGAAAAACCAAGGGGATTATTATATACCTACGACTAATAAAAAAAATATTTTTGGATTTCTTTATTAGACCTTAATGCCTCAAGAAAGCTATCCAAGAGATCCATCGGTAGGAAAAGTCCAATTTTTTTTTGTTATACTAACACAACTAGAATATCATTGAAAATTGCCTAGATAATCTCCTCACCCCACACTTATAATTGTGCGTTGTCCCCCAATAACCATAAATAACAAGACGGTGAAAGAAACTCCCCGGTAGGCCAAAGGCCGAAGCATCAACAACTCATGGGATACTCAGACTTCTCCCAAGCCTGGTCCTTCATGCGGGTACCTCACACTTAGTTCCAACCATTTTGTTTGCTTTTGCTTCCTTCCAATGGATTTATTTTTCATGCTCATAAACCTACAAAATAAAATAAAACGACATTACAAAAATAATACATTAAAAGAAAGGTAAACAAATTTAAAAAAATAAAATAAAAGAAAGTAGTAAAGTTGGGTTGCCTCCTAACAAGCGCCTAATTTAACGTCGCGGCACGACGTGAATCACTTTCTACCTTCATTTCGAACTTAAGAATTGGATACCAAATTTTGATTCTGCTTTATGATCATGCTCTTGGGGTAGTGTAAAGCCTTGAAAGCCAAAAATTAAATAATTCCTTATGCACTTTTTGACTTTAAGCTGAGGAGTATCACCTTGCCTAGACGGCCTCGAAAATTTCAAAATATATGGCACATCTACCTATTCCCTTGTCTCCTTTCTACGCTCGTAAGGATCCATTCTTATTTCACCATCCGAACACAATATAGATAAGTGTTTGGAATGAGGTCCAACACGCTCAAATACATGAACTTCGAGATGTTCAACATCCTCTACACCAATGAAACTAGAATTAACTTAATATTTATCCTCAATGACCTCGGTTGACTCTAGTATCACGCCTTCAGCGTCGACATCATCAAATTCTAGTTGGTTGATTTGGTCGTATTCTCTTCTAAACTCCTCCATTATATTGTCAATTTCTGCCGCTAATTCATGCTCTTCTTGGCTACTATCCATAATGTCAGCTTGTTGCACTTTATAAGGATTAACAAGTTGACTCACTTGAGCCTCCAAGTTGTGAATAATTTTCTCTTGCCTTTGTATCTGTAGTGGTTTCTCATAATATTGTACCACAAGTCACTTCAACATATCCATGAAGGGACGTGACTGAGACAAGAATAGGATAAGTTCAAAGATGATTTTGACGCAGACCAGTGATCTTCTATAGGTCGCATCCTGCCTTAGGAGAGAGACGAAGAACACCGTAGAAAAGGGTTCCGGTCCTCAAATAGGTTCTCTCCCGAAAGAAGAATTGATAGTGGCCGGAAGAACAGATCGTTGCAAGAAAAAGAAGTACCGGGGACTCGAGATTCTACATATTCCAGGCTTTCAGATTACAATTTCAACATCAGTGTAGTGGATTTGGTATTGGCGATGAGGAATATAAAAGAAGCAAGATTCATGAAGCCAATAAGATCTGATCCCAGCCAAAGGGATCCTAACTTATTGTGTAAGTATCATGGACCTCACGGCCACAGGACTGGGGACTACCGGCACCTGCGTGAGGAGGTGGCAACGTTATTGAAAAATGACCATCTCAGGGAATTCTTGAGTGACCGAGCCAAGAATAATTACAGCCGCAGCCGGGACAACGCAGAACCCTTAAAGATAGGAGAAGACCCTCATCGGTTGACTATCAACAGGATTTTCGTAGGGAATGAAATCAATGCTGTAACCTTCTCGACGACAAAGAAAAAAAAAGTATCGGTGACCCACAGCAAGAGACTCTGGGAAGTCTCCAAAGACGACATCCCTTCTCGTTCACAAAGAAAAAAGGTATCGGTGACCCACAACAAGAGACTCTGGGAAATTGTCGAAGACGACATCACCTTCACAGAGAAAGATGCCAACAAACTTCTTCTGCAGCATAACGACGCCCCGAGTGCTGGAAAGAGCCAAATTAATTGGAAGTATCATTCCAGCAATGAAGCTCCTCGGCAAGGATCAACTTGGCAAGTGTGACAACTCGAGGAGAGATCCTGCTACCCATGAACGCTGAAGGGGTCACGAAGACCACCTTATTTGAAGTGGTGGATGGTGACATGGGCTATAACATAATTCTCGGTAGACCATGGTTACATGAGATGAAGGTCCTACTATCAACATATCACAAACTGCTGAAATTTCTGATCCTAGAGGGAATCAACAGATGAGAGGAGATCAACCGGCAGCAAGAGAAATGAACGCAGTATCAATTTCTAATAGTAAAGGGAATGAGCACAGCAAATAACAATTACAGGAACCGACGCCTTCTCCCGTGCCAAGCGAAGATGATTAGGGCGAGGAGTCGTTGGAATCCTACTAGGTATAAAGATACTTTCAGGTACTAAAAGAGACAGGTGCGACAAAATCCAGAGCAGAAAAACTCGAACAAGTGGCTTTGTTTGAGGAATTCTTGGAGAGAAAGTTTCACTTGGGAATAAGACTCAATCTCGAACTCCGGTCAGGATTTATTAATTTCCTTTAAACTAACGTTGATTGGTTTGTATGATCGCACTCGAATATGGCAGGTATCCCACTAGAGGTAGTTGTGCACAAGCTAAGCCTGGACTTGAGCATCCTTCCGATTAATGCAAAAGAAGTGCCCGATAGTTGAAGTTAGAAACAATTTTGTTAAGGAAGAGGTAACTCGACTACTTGACATCGGTTCAATCCGAGAGGTAAAGTATCCCGAATGGTTAGCTAATGTAGTTGTAATTTCGAAAAAGAATAACAAGTTATGAATGTGCGTAGATTATAAAGACTTGAATAAGGCATGCCCTAAATACTCGTTCTCGCTGCCAAACATTGATAAAATGAGTTTCCTTGATTCTTATTTCGGGTACAATCAAATCAAGATGAACCTGGAGGATCAGAAAAAAAACTTTGTTCATAACGAACTTTGGCACATATTGTTATAATGTGATGCCCTTCGGGCTTAAAAACGCCGGAGCCACTTATCAGAGACTCGTGAACAAGACATTTGAGAAGAAAATAGGTAAAACGATGGAAGTATATATAGATGACATGT